ATTTCTTTTAAAGTTCTGATTTAATGAAGATTAAATATAGAGAATTATGGTTTTGATCTACAAACAGTAAGAGAAAGATGAGTGCTTGAAACTGATGTCTGATGCATTTGTTACATAAACACAGCTACAATTAAAGTGCACCATCACAGACAGTTCCAAGGTCTGCTTAGTACAGTCACAGCAACACTGTAGCTTAGTTGCTTCTGTTCAAAACATAATTACAGCTGTGAAGGACTTTGCTTTGCCAATTTGACACTTACTAAATTTTTTGGGTGCAAATTTCTCTCTAATAACTGCTTTAAAATTTTTAAGACAATCCCACAACACAACAGAATGGAGATAAGATGCCACTAGACACACCTGCAATATAACAACAGAGGCTCTAAACAGGAGACAGAAGATTGTTCATGTCTACGTGACTGGATTCCACTTCAAAAACTATTTCAGTTTAATTTTAAAGTAATCCTGGACATGATCCAGTTTGAATACTATAGGTAAGGAATTCGATATGTTGATACCCTGAACAGAAAAGGCTATTTTTCTCAAGTGAGAATTCTTGTAATAAAACTTGAAGTTTCCAAAATGCTTTATGTCTTACTGAACTGAAAGCTTTAAGAAGAATCACAATATTACTGAGAACTTGAGGAGCCCGATCATTTATAAAATAGCGTAATATTAACAAATATTTTTTTAAATGTCTTGGCATATTCAGTGTTGGTTTGTTTTGCCAGTGTTTAGTTTTGTTATTAAAAAATAGTTAAGTCCTAAATTCACATCATGGCATCCAGTCTATTGTGTAACTAGGCAGAAATATTACTTTGACCACTGTCGGTGTGCTTGCAAAATTAGTTTTCTGGTGATTTCAAATGGTTTCAACATAAAACACATTTTTGTATTAAGACCTACTGGAATACATTTTTTAAAAAACAGAAATACTGCTTTTATAGTTGAACACGACACAGATGTTTCTCTTTTTCTCATTCTAAATGGGAAAAAAAACAAAGGAACCAATTATTAATATGTTACTGATCACCAGTGCTATTACCACAACAAAGAAAAAGTATCAACTGTAACTCAATGCTATTCTGCATTTTTGTACTAAAGCATAGCATGTGAAAAATATTTATAAACCTGTTTTAGCCATATTACAGCGTGTGACACCTCCAGCAACAAGTAAGGGGAGAGCAGGAGCACTTATGTTGCCATGTCCATGTCCTGTGTTTTACAGGTACTCTGACACAACCATTGAGGCTCTCGAGATATTAGACAGAGATGAGAAGATTGATCTGGACCTAATTCTGGCACTAATTCGTTATATTGTGCTCAATGAGGAGGTGAGTCTAACCTTTTAGTTGTGGTTTGAGTGCAGCTGGCATAAATTGGCCAAATTCTAGACGATG